TTGCTATTTTTAGTCTTAAAAGTTGAGCAAAAAACTTGTAAGTCACCAGTATGGGTAAAAATGTTGGCTTAAAAGAAGTTTGGAAAGGAAACACTCAGGGATACTCAAGGAAACTGAAAAAGTGTTGAGCTGTGAACATAAACCCACTGCCATCAGGTGGATTTCAATCTTATTCAGATTTTTTGAAGATTATAAATCTTTATGAATAGACAGTCTCATCTTTATCTTGTGGAGTGGCGAGTGGTTTTGAACCCCTAACTTTGTGGTTAGCAGCCCAGTCTATCCCACTGTACCAACAGGGCTACGGTTGTTGTCAGGTGCCATTGAGCTGGTTCCGACCCATAGCGACCCTGTGTACAACAGAGCAAAACCCTGCCAGGTCCTGTGCTATCCTCACTATCATTCCCATGCTGAAGATCCACGTTGCAGCCACTGTGGGAATCCATCTTGTTGAGAGCCGTCCTCTCTTGTGCTGCCCTTGCACTTTGCCAGGCATGATATCTTTCTCCAGGGATTGGTCTCTCCTGACAATATGTCCAAAGTATGTGCACATACACGTATGTGAGACACAGTCTCACTATCCTTGCCTCTAAGAAATATTCTGGCCATTGTTCTTCCAAGATAAATCCCTTTGTCTTTTTGGCAGTGCATAATACTTTCAATATTGTTCCCCAGCACCATAATTCACATGCTTCAATTCTCTTCTTTGGTCGTCCGTAGTCAATGTCTAACTTTCATACGCATATGAGGCAATTGAAAACACCATGATGTGGGTGTCTTCACCTTAGTCCTCAAAGTAAACTCCCTGCTCTTCCAATAGGGCTATTATTACCTATAATAAAAATAAAGTTGCAAAAATGAAAATAGTTTAAACTGTTACATATGTAGATGGATCTAGAAACTAGATCACAAACTAGAAAATATAAAAATGCAATCAAGTAGACATGGACAATTGGTATAAAGTAAACAGCATTCATACTTTGTGGGGGAAAATAAATTATTCAATAGCTAGGGATTGAGATAGCTAGGTATCTATGAAGAAAACATCCCTATGTAGAAAACATTACTCTTTCTTTCAAAATAATGTCCAGATAGCACAAAGATTTAAATGCCAAAAATAAAATAACTTGAAAAGAACATTGGGTAACACTTTCAACATTAACCTTGGAGTTGATAAAGCAAGATACAAATTTCCAAAGTCATAATAGAGCAATCAATTTTCTATTTAAAAGTTTAACTTTGCAAAACAAACAATAGCCACTAGACAAAAACTGGGTGAAGTTAAGACACAAATGCCCAGCTAGAGGAGGTTTCAAACAGTTCATGAAACAGACAAACAAAAGTTATCTTTTACTTCCATTTTTTCATGAACTTTTTGAAGTCCCCTCATATACACTGTGACACATATTTAAGAACACATTTCAAAAGACTAAATTTCTTTAGTTTATAAGAAAAAGTTAAATGTGGCCAGATTTTCCTTTGTATTGTTTAAACTTTTGTGTGGATCTCTACATCTTTAAATACTGACAATAATTCAAATTTAAAATACAGTGAGAACAAAAAGAACCCCCTCATTTTAGGGAGCTCAGCAGGAACCTCAAGGCCAGACTAACATAAAGCGGAGTCCATGGGATTTGGGGACCTTAGGAAGTGCACCAGTCGGCAGGGCTGAAAGAATCAGGATTTTTTCTCGCAGCCAAAGGTCATTTTTGAATTAAATGTGCACCCTTGCACATTGTCCTCCCTAAGATAAATATGAGTTCTCAGAAACAGGACTGGATCATTTCCTCAAATTCAGAGAAAGCCGAAGCAAGCGGGTGAGAGACTGCATTGTGCCTTGTACACTGACAGGCAGAATGGTGGCAGTCTCTCCCTTTCCTGCAGCTCACCTTCCAATACACCTGAAAGACTGGGCTTTCTACTCCTCCCATACACAGTTACAGTCTCCGAAGCCCACAAGGGGTCGCTATGAGTCAACAGTGACTTGATAGCAATGAGTTTGTTTTTTGAATTTTCCTGCCTAAGAAACAAAAGTGATTACAGAATTGTTGATTACCAGACCTATAGTAGTTTTAAAATCAGCCCCCTTTCTGTACACATGCCAAATAACCTCCCTAGTCAGCCCTCTCTGAAAGGAGGGAGACACATGAAAAGAATATGGTTCTCTTGTGTGGGTAACCTTCACCCAAGGAGGAGTGTGCAGTAAAATGTGTAAGGGTCTTATGGCTATGTGTGTGTGTATAATTGTCTCTGTATATTCCTGTGTGTCTCTGTGCTAATATAACAGATGAACAGGTGTGTATCCAAATGTTAACAATAGTTCGTCCTGGATGGTGGTGTGAACCGTGATTTTGCTTTTTGTCTGGAAGACTTTCAATATTTTCTATTATACCTACAGTGAAACTATATTGGTTTACAAATGACAAAAATAGACAATAAAGCTACAAGAAAACCTGTAAAATCACAAGCAGAATATTATAAGCAAAAACAGTCTATTTAGGTCAAAAAGTCCAAACAAGAGAAAACTAGATTCATGCCTCGTGGTCACCCTGTCTAAGGGCAGCATGAAAGAAGAATCATAAAGGAAATGATTGATGGGGAAAATGAAAAATTTACAGATAAAAACAAAACAGGACGAGGTGTAGAAGGGATCAGTTATCAGACATCAAAGAACGGAAAATCATATCAGTGGGTGCCCGCTCTACTGAAACAATCACCGAAGACAAACGTGTGCATAAGCAAATGTGGTGAAGAGAGCTAA